TTTGAAATCCTGCCACTATGAACAAACTTTCTAAAGGCAAAGATGCTCAAGTTTGCTTTCAACTGGAAAAATGCCTGAGGGAGAAAGAAACAAAAAGACTAGAATCAATTAAGAAAGGAAGACCTTCACTAAGAACAGATAAAAGTAATGTGAGGAGAGAGAATGAGATCCTCTAGGGCTTACTCCTAAAATAAACAAGAATAGCTGGCAAATGACATCTCTCTGTGCTCCTCGGGAGAGAAGGCATCTAGGTTACAACTTGCACTTGCTGCATCTTGCTTGAATTAATTAAGATACGTAAGTCCCCTAAAAGCAATTCCCAAGAATCAACATTTTATTGCAAACTTTGTAAGCAAAAAAGATAAGACAGCTACATTAAGATGTGATTTTTTTTCAGAATTTTCAGTTTAGAAAATATTTCAATATATTGGAACTGAAAGGAAAGCAATGCAAAATATCTCATATTTAGTAAGCAAAAACAAACTAATAAATGTTAGTTTTACTTGTATATACATTAAAGAACTTTTTATCCTCAAAAACTGATATATTTTAATCTTTCATTAAGATTTTAAAAAATAAAATATGCACAGGCTACAATGCCCACTTTGACTGGCACAAGTCTCACTGAACTAAGCACATAAAACCTTTTTTGAGAACTGTTTTTATTTATTTATTTATTTATTTTATTTATTTTTGGACTTATATACCGCCCCATAGTGCTACAAGCACTCTCCGGGCGGTTTACAATTTAATTATACAGGCTACACATTGCCCCCCCAGCAAGCTGGGTACTCATTTTACCGACCTTGGAAGGATAGAAGGCTGAGTCAACCTTGAGCCGGCTACCTGGGATTTGAACCCCAGGTCGTGAGCACAGTTGCAGTACAGCGTTTTAACCACTGCGCCACGAGGCTCTTTTGCACTCTTTTACTGCACTATTTGTAAACCTTTAGGACTCAGTTCATATTTCCCCCTTAGCTTTTACTGTAAAAAAAGAAATTAATATAGTAACATTCTGTTAGCATATATTGTACTACCGTGTTTTCCTGAAAATAAGACAATTTTTGCTCCAAAAATGCATTAAGGCTTATTTTCAGGGGATGTTTTATTTTTGTCATGTACAACAATCTACATTTATTCAGATACAATCACGTCATCTTCTGGTTGCTGCACAATGGTGGAGGGCGGTGTTTCACTTAGTTTGGGGCTTATTTGGGGGGTAGGGCTTATATTACGAGCATCCAGAAAAATCATACTAGGGCTTATTTTCAGGTTATGTCTTATTTTTGGGAAAACAGGGTAAATGGATTGTTAATGTATGCATTCATTATTTGTTACAGTGTACCATCAATTCATTACGACTTATGGTGACCCTTTGCATAGTTTTCTAGGTACAGAGTATTCAGAACTGGTTTACCACTTCCTTCTTCTGGGGCACTGTAGGACTGTTCTCTTGTTCAAGGCCAAACAGGTTGGCTCTTCTGGACTGAACTCTCAGCGTCTGGCTCTGCAACCACATACCTAACTCACTGAGCTATCCAGCCAGCTGTGAAAATATATGTCAGTATCCAGATCTTGCCCAGAACTGAAGGGCTACACGAATACCACAAACAAAAAACCAATTCTCAAGTGTTTTAGACAGAAGAGCTGCAGACCTTTCATGTGCATATCTACTCAGGCCTGGCTGCTAACAAACATTTAGTTCATCCAAAAGGCATTCAGTGCTATTATTCCATATTATGTAAAACTCCTAAATAGTTTTTTAAAAAAATCTCTCAAATGTTGGGAGCTCTTTGACCTCTTCTGCTATTATTTAGGAACTAGGCCACAGAAAATTGTAATATGCCCAAAGATGATTCTGAGAAGAAAATGGAAGGATTGCTCCATCCTCCTTTCCAAGTAGTTCTGGTAAAGATTCTTCAATAGAAAACACTGACTTTAGGAATTTATACAGGCAAAGCATGGGCTTTAGCAATCAACCTGGAAAACATTCCTGGCTACAGAATCCAGTTTAAACTCAATCTAAAAATGGAAGGTCAGAGTCTAGTTAGTGTACCAAACATAAAAGAGAATATAAATAATCTTTTATATAAATAAGAATTTACAGTGACTGACACACTAAAACAATATTACTACACAGTGAACATTCTTCAAGAATGTTATACTACCCTATGATACACAGAATGAAATCTAACCAGGCTTCCTTTATTAAAAGAACATTTCTGGCAGCAGAATGAGGAAACACACTATTTTCAATAATTCTTCCTTCTCGCCCCTTCTGCAGCCTCCAATTTCTGAAGCAGAGTTGGTATAAAGAGCTATACAACACAGAGTTAAACATAAAAAATTGTGCCCCTATCTTCTTTACTGGTAGAAGTCTTTAAAAGGGGGTGGCTAACTGGATCCCATTCATACACTGCAGGTGAAGATATCTGCAGGGAATGAAAGCTTACAACAACAGTAGATTGTGACCTTTTGAACTAAGTGTATTCACTTCAAAGAAGCATTCGATTTCATTTCTGTAGAGCAACTAGGTGCTGACACTTCTTGTACTCAAAGCAGATAGTTCTTCATTGCCCATGTCAGAAACACCATAGTATAATAAATATATCAGAAAATTATAGAGTTTAGCATGAAATGTTAAAGGCATTAGTCCATGGTGGATTTAATTTACATCAAATTTATTTAAATCATGATTTAATTTAAAAGATCACTTTTACTTAAATTGTGATTTAAATCAATTTGATTTTTTTTAAAAATCATTGATTCTACCCACCCTGCATCATATCTACTACATACTACTGCATCATGTCTACTACATACAGAAGATTTTACTACAAGATACCGGTACTTTCATGCTGAGAACTTATTAATAACTGAAATGAATTCATTCAAATTATCTCAATATACAGTACAGACAAAAATACTTCTGGCCAACGTAAATAATACTTTTAATCTATGACATTTATAATAAAAAGTAAAATAGCTTATTACTACCATACTTGTCAGCACCTAAGGCAAGCAAAGGAGTGATGTGACTTCAAAGATATCATCAAGCACATTAACCATGGTCAGTCCCATCATCTGGAAATATTTGCATTACAATCTGAACAAACACATCACTTTATTGTTATGTATTAAAAAGCTCCAAAACACTGAGAATAGAAATTCTGCCTAGGACTGCAATTCTATTTATAACAAGCCTTGCTAATCTCATTGAGACTTTCTTTCAAATAAAGAGGAATATGGTTGGAGTACAGAATAGATTAGGAAGAAATAGACAATTAAATGAAATGGGCAATTTGCATTTTTTTCCCAGCTTAATGTATTGACTATTAAGATGGTCCAAATATAAATTATCACATTTTAAAATTTCTCTTTAAAACATACTAGCAAAACTGCTGCTTTAGAAAGGTCTTGCAAATCACTCAATTACAAGTCTGAACCCTTCCTCTTACTAGACAGGATTACCCTTCATTTCCTTTTATATGTTACAATTGGGCATTAATCACAGATCTCATGAAGATAACAACTCATATGAAAATTGCAATACGTATAATATCACCAACAGAACAATCAGGAACAGGAACACAATGAAAGTGGCTACTGTGCCTGTAGACAAAATATGAGTAGCAAAAATGGGCCTTGCAGCAGTAACTTTCTCTTTGCATTTTGTACTATCAGCTTTGCTATTTTATTTGATTTTAGTTAAATGAGTAGGTCTGGACTCATCTTCAGTGAAAAAAGTTTAACAGAAATAGGTTTCAGTGAAATGAATGGAGCACTTTGCTTTCCAGCCATCACAGGAGCAAAGTCAAAATGAAGACAGAGAACCATGCTTCTCTTTCTAACATCAGCACCATGCCCATCCTGGGATGAGATGTGTAGATTATAGCAAGTCGTCCCCCCCACCCAGCAGTTAATGAATACTGAAAATATGCTAGAATCTTATGAAACCTGTTATCATTACTGCAAAAAAGTCAACTGCCACAAAAATGGTTTGATCTAGGAAAATATAATTTTACTGAAGGTATCAAAGCACCTTTGGTGTTCTTCCTCAGCATAAAGTTGCTACCATGAGGTAGTGAAAAATACGACCATTAGAAGAAAAGCCACATTAAACAACAATAAACAGGTATTCTCTTTTTCGTGAGGCCATATATTTCTCTTACTGTCTATCTTTCAAATGCAGAGCTGTAAGGGGCCCTATCAATAATCTAGTCCAGCCTCTGTCAAGGAGGCACTGTGAGAACTCGAACTCCCAACCTCTGGCTCCAGAGGCCTGATACCTAAACCACTGGCTCCACCTCAGTTTTCTAGTATTCAATACACTTTTCCAGCTTTGCTTAAAGACACCTAAGCATCCAGGGGAGGCTGATTTGTCAAAGATCATAGCTTCAGTTGTGACAAACATGTTTCAGGACGAAAAATAATATATCTTAAAAGAAAGTAGGGCAGTAACCAAGTGCTATAAATCAATTTTATAAGGAACTAAACTCCTATCTTTCTCTAAGCCTGAATCGTGTTCTCAGAAATAATTGCTTATTCCACCCAACAGGGTCAGACTTCAAGGAACCAAATTCTGTACAGTAATTGTGCATTTCCCCCAACAAGTCCTCTAATATTCTCTCTTTTAGTGTCCACCGTGACACCTCATCCCTCCATACAGAGCACATTACCATAATCTCAGGAGACTGAGCCCCCACTTTTCTGAGGTCTCTTGCCAACAACCCTTAGAGGAAGGCTCTTGTATCCGACACGCCTACCGAATGAACACTTAAATCAGCCTGGGACGGGCGGCGGCGGTGGCCTGAGAAGCCTCCGGACGAGCATCCTGTGGGATGGCTTGGGGGCCACGGAGCGAAGCAGGCCACCCTCCTCACCCCGCCTCCCCTGAGGCGGAGAGAGCGAAGACGGGAAGGAACCGGTGACGCTCGCGTTACCTTCCCGCCTCGGGAACGGGGGAGGGCGGGGAAGGGCTCCTGGGGGGCGGCGGTCACCTTTGAAGAAGCGCAGCGCCAAGCCGTACAACTCCTCCAGGCCGAAGCCCCAGCGCCGGCTCAGGCTCAGCGCCCCGTCGTCTCCTCCGGCTCCTCCGCCTTCGCCTTCGCCGTCTTCGTCCGCCTCGTCCCCGGCCTCCTCTTCCTCTTCGGCGACCTGCTGCCCTGGCTGAGGGGTAGCCCCCGCCCGGCTCCCTCTGCCCGCAGGAGCGGAGCGCGGCCTAGGCTCCGCCTGCCCCACCCGGGCATCCTCCGAGTCCGGGCTCAGGGTGAGGCCGTCAATGGAGACCTCCAGCCGCTCCGAGCTCAGTGCCGCCGCGGCCGCCATCGCCAACCCGCTCTCCTTGCCCCCCTGCTGCTCAGCTGGGCGGCCACGTCTCGACTTCCTGCTCCCTCCTCACGACCCGGATCTTCCGGCGCTCGAAGGGCCCTGGCGAGGCAAGGCGAGGGAGGAGGAGGAGCTGGAGCTGGAGCCGCGCTGGCCTCCGAGGCCTCACCTCCCTGGCCCTTCCCCACTCGTCGCTTTGGCGGCTCTCCCTCGGGCGCCGGGGCCCGCGGAGGCGGGCCGGCGGGCGGGGGCTTCTTAATTTAAGTAGTTGAGGCTGCAGCCTCGACTGCTCCGCGGGAGGAAAGCCCGCCGTGTTCAGGAGGGCTTGCTAAATAAGCATGCCGAAAAGTTGCCATCTTTTATTCCCCGACAGAATTCCCCTGACGTTGAACAGCTGCAGGAGGCGCAGACATTCGCCAGGTGCTGCTCTCTCGTCCTGGTCGCTGCAGCTCTGAGCTGTGTACCTGTTGATTTGCTCCAGCTGTTAAAGGCAAATCAGCCTCCCAGCGAGGCGGCGGGTGAGGCTCGGGGCCAGGCAGCAAGCCCCCTCCGAGCTGTTGTCGCCTCAGCACGTACGAGATGTGCGGCAAAAACAAAAAATTTCCGGCTAGAAGGCGCCTCACGCTGAAATTTTGGATGCAGGCGAAAGAGCCGTTACCTCTCCGCAGTACCGCCAGTTTTAACGCTGCCAGGAGTGCTTTAATAGCCGCTTTCTCAATGGGGAGAAGCAGACGAAATCCCACACTACTTAAACGCAACCCCCTTGTCATTGCTTAATACGATAGCTGAGGCTCGATTCCTGAGTACCTTTTGCCCTCTTTTTTTTTACCAGTTTTCAGCTGGCATATATAGGAAAAGACATACATAATTATGCATTTTAAAAACCAGAGTTTAGGCTGGTTTATGAGAATGATGTAATGATGTCTTCGCTTCCTTTGAAACAGATTTGGTTTATGAAATGTTTTCTGTGTTGCATCAGTTTTATGATTCAGGAAGCAAGTCCTTCATATCTCATGCAATTAATCCCAGACATCTGCATGAAACAAATGAGGGAGAAGAAAGTGGCAGTGGTGCAGCTGTTTCTGTCAAAAACCTATTTACACTAATTCACTCTCTTGTGAATGAAAAACAACAGTCAACACAAAGCTGGATCTCATGTATAGGCTTGCCCATCTGGACAACATTTCTGCCCTGAGACTGAGGGTTATGAGGTTCTGCATCTGCACTATGCTGGAAAAATCTACATATTTAGAAAATCCTTCTTTCAGTAAGGAATCTGTATAAATCCAGTCATCTGTTGCAGCTTTGCCTCTGAAACTTTTCTGCCCCATTTTTAAATCTAATTTTAAGACATAATTAAAGGCATCAAAGTGGGGGCTAAAACAAGGAAATAAACTCTCAATGGGAATGGCTACAGCACTAAACTCTGAACGAACAAGTGGGAAAACCTCAGGAAAAACTATCAAATCAGATCCTGTATCTGACACGAGTTGTGTGAACAACATAAAACCCATACTGAACCAAGTACTTTTACTGGGGCCTTGCTCCACCTGGATATGCTATGCAAAATCTGTATTATTGTTCTATGTAGACTAATATAATTTTTTTACCAGCAGTCTACTCTTCAATAACTTAAGAGCTCTTTTAAAACTTGAGAAGCTTGAGACCATTATTATGTGTCCTGCACTCTGGGATGATTGAGAATAGATCCTGCCCCTCTGTATGACTACCTTTCAAGTATATGAAAAGTACAGTATTATCATAGCAACCCCCTGCCTTTTCTCAAGGCTAAACATGCCCACTTCTTTCAGTTTTTCCTCATACGGCTTGGTTTTCAGTCCTCTCTTCATCCTTGTTGCCCTTCTCTGAACTTGTTCGTTGTTGGCATCCTTATTAAAGTGTGGTGTCCAGAAATGGACATAGTATTCTAGATGAGGCCTAACCAGTGTTGAATAGAGGAGAAATAGTACTTCTGTTAATGCATCCTAAAATAGCAAAGTTCCCCTCTATTTGGTACTGGTTAGGCCTCATCTTGAGTACATACTGCGTCCAGTTCTGGATACTGCACTTTAAGAAGGGTTGAGACAAACTGGAAAAAGTTCAGAGGAGGGCAACAAAGATGATAAGGGAGCTGGAAATAAAGCCCTGTGAGGAAAGACTGAAAGGACTGGGCATGTTTAGCCTTAAGAAAATCAGGCTGAGGGGAGTTACTGTACAATAGGAGGGGTATTATTACATATCTCAGAATGCAGGGCATGTCATAATGGGCTCAAGTTATAGGAAGCCAGATTTAGACTGAATATTAGGAAAAGCTTCCTGTTAGAGCAGTACAACAATGGAATCAATTATGTCAGGGGGTGGAGAGTATTCCAGTGCTGGAGTAATTGAAGAGAAAAATGGGCAACCATCTATCTGATCTACTTTGATTTGGATTCCTGCAGTGAGAAGGAGGTTGGACTTAATGGCCTTATAGGCCCCTTCCAACTCAATTATTTCATGTCTCTGTAAGAGTGGTTGTGTCAACAGTAGGAGCAAATGTTGGGTGCTTAAAGAAATCCTGTTTCTGTTCTTGGCCATGGAACTTGTGTGTTATCACTCATTGAATGTGAGCCTTGTGAGGTCTAGGATGGAAACAAGGACTATTGATTATCAGTTAGTGTGTTTTTGGATAGATCCTTGGTTGTGAAAGTTGCCTACCCTCCGTATCAAATCACCTGCAAGTAAGTACTATTGAAGTTAACTGAAGTTATGGCCACCTCAATTATTTGATCAGTTCCCTACCTATGCTTTAGGTACTTGCTGTTTGTTCCCAGTACAAGGAAGAACCTGAAATGGATGATGCATTTTTTTCTTCATGTCCCAGGTTCTCAGTTACTTCTTTGGAGGAGTTGCTGCACAATCCTGAGAGACTAGAATCCTAAACAACAGTAAAGTATTGGATAAAATGGAGTAAATATTGTTTGGTTAGTAATTAGAAAGAGTGGGACAGGCTCAAATCAACATGGGAAGAAACATGTTTGAACCATTTTTACATCTAATTTGTTTGTTTCAGTCATTTCCTCCAAAGTCTTCTCCTTTTAACTTGAACTGGATTATGAATTCTTCAAGGTTAATTATCCAAACAGCAACTCTGTGAAGCCTGTCTTGCCAAAATTAATACTCTTGTACCACATTACATCAAATATAACAAATATCAGCTACTGTCATCCTATCAAAGTGTAATTTTATTTATTTATTCTACTTATATCCCACCTATCTGGTCTTGTGACCACTCTAGGCGGCTTACAAACACATAAAACAGCAAGTAAATATAATTTAAGTTTTGAACTAGATACTCAGCTTCTTCTGGATGTAAAGAGCATCATGTATGTGATGTATAACTTTCATTTCCTTTCACCTTTTATTTGCCTCAGCAAAATGTTCAGGTCTTCTTTGTTGGTTCCTCCTGTATACTGGCATTTTTTTTCTGTAACTTTCCCTATCTCCCTTGCATTTTGTTTTCCTTCTCTGCTATTTGTAAGGCCTCATTGGACAGCCACTTTGCTTTCTTGCATTTCCCTTTCTTCTGGATTGTTTTGTTGCTGCCTCCTGTACAATGTTACGAGTCTCCAGCCTGTTCTTCAGGCACTCTACCCACCAAATCTAGTTCCTTAAATCTGTTCTTCACTTCCACTGTGGATTCATAAGGGATCTGGTTTAGATTATACCTGACTAGCCCAGTGGTTTTTCCT